CTGACATAAGATGGTATTATTATCCAAAAACAAGTTGAAGTTTATCGATGGCTCCATTAAAGCTCCTCCAACCATCGATTCTTTCTTCTCTACCTGGGAAAGATGCAATACTATGGTACTTTCTTGGCTCACTCATTCTCTTTCATCATCCATTACTAGTAGCATTTTATGGATTGATAAAGCTTATGATGTATGAGATGATCTTCAAAAAGGGTTTTCACAAGGAGATATTTTTAGGATCTCATATTTGCAAGAAGGGATTTATAGCTTTAAACCAGTGGATTGAAGTGTTACTAATTACTTTACCGAATTAAAGATTCTTTGGGATGAGTTGAAAAACTTAAGGCCACTTCCTACATGTACTTGTACAACACATTGACTACTTTCAAGAATTATCAGAACAATGATTATGTCATTCGATTTCTCAAAGGTTTTAGTGATCAATTTGCTGTTGTTAGATCTCAAATCATGCTCATGGATCCACTTCCTTCAATCAATAAAGTCTTTTCTTTAGTTTTGCAACAAGAAAGGCAGATGAGTTTGGGAGTTGCTAAAGTGTTTGTTCATAAAGCTGCCAAAGAGAATTCTCAAGCTAACAAATCACAGAACACTTGGAAGTTTAATTCATCAAGGTCACAGAACAATGGAGATAATCGGTTTTGCACATTCTGTGGCAAACCGAGACATATTGTTGAAACTTGCTATAAGAAGCATGGTTTTCCATCTGCTTAGAAGTCCAAAAGTCATAATCCCACTGCTTATAATGTAATTGCAGAACAGAATGGCACAGATCTTCCTATGCAATCTAATGTTTCTGTCAAGAATCAAGGGGGTTGTGGTGTTTCTTTCACTTAAGATCAATATCACCAATTGCTTGCTTTGCTCCAATCATCTAATTCTGAGCAATCATCCCATGTGACTAACCAAGTTGTTGTTTCTCAGCCTCAGCCAACCCTTACTTCTCATTTTTCTTCTTCAGTTTCAGGTTGCCATTTTACTTTAACCTGCTCTAAATCTCCATTATGGATTGTACATACAGGGGCAACAGATCACATTGCCCATTCTTTGTCTTCCTTTGATAGCTATAAACAAATCAAACCAATCTTAGTCACATTACCGAATGGTTCCAAAAACACTGCTCAATATTCTGGGGTTGTAAATCTCACTAACAAGTTAGTTCTTATAGATTAACTCTATATTCCTGATTTTTATTTTTAATCTGATAAATGTTACAAAGTTGACCTCCTCACTTAATTGTTGCCTAAGCTTCCAACGTTCTTATTGTTTAATCCAAGATCTAACTTTGTGGAAAATGATTGGTTTAGTTAAAGTGCATGATGGCCTATATGAAATGCAAAATATCCTGTTTTTGCAGCCAGTTTTTCACAATCTCCTTTTGTTTCTTTAGATTCAAGTACTGCATTGTTTGAGATTTGGCATTATAGACTTGGCCATATATTTGATTCTAGAATGAAATACTTAGCTCCTTGTATTCCTGGCCTTAAATTTCATGACAATAAAGTTTGTACCATTTGTCATTTGGCTAAACAACCGAGGTTACCTTTTTCTGTGAGTCATTCCAAAACTTCTAAATGCTTTAATATGATTCATCTTGATATTTGGGGTCTCTATTCAATATGTTTTGTTCATGATCATTGATTTTTCTTAACTATCATGGATGACTATTCTAGATTTACATGGATTTACTTGCTTAAACAAAAATTTGAAGTTAGGCAGCTAGTTCAGTTTTTTTTTTTTTACTCTCATAGAAACTCAATTTTCAGCTAAAATAAAAACCATTTGTATTGATAATGGTGTTGAATTTGTAATGCCTCTCATCAAACATCCAGTGTTGAGACACCTCAACAAAATGGTGTGGTGGAACGAAAATACTAGCACATCATGAATGTTGCTAGGTCCTTACTATTTCAGTCTAATTTGCCCAAAGTGTGTTGGAACTATGCAGTACTTCATGCTATTCACCTCATCAATAGACTTCCTTCTCCTATCTTGCAATACAGATCACCATTTGAGCTTCTATATCATAAATCACCTCACTATGATTCTTTAAAAATATTTGACTGCTTGTGTTTTGCTTCAACTTTACAAGCTCACATAACCAAATTTGATTTTAGAGCCAAGAATTGTCTTTTTCTTGGATTCCCATCTGTTACTAAAGGTTTTGTTCTATTAGACCTTCATTCTAGAGAAATTTTTCTCTCTCGAAATGTTTTCTTTTGCAAATATATTTTTCCTTTTTCCAAAGCTACGGATAATTTTGTTCCCTTACCTCAGAATTCAACCTTTTTAGACCCCGATCTTTGTCCTACTAATGACACTTCCTTATCTGAATCACCTTCATTATCAACTGGTAACATTCCTTCTGCTAATTCCCTTGTTACCTCTTCCTCTCCTGTTATACCACATGTCCGTAGCTCTCGAAGACTGAGAAAGCCTCCCTCATATTTAAATGATTATCATTGCATTATGGTCATTGCACCTGAATCCTCTTTCCATCAGTCAGGTACTCTTTACCCCTTATCCTCTGTTCTCTCTTATTCTAAACTTTCGCCAAATCAGCTTCACTTTACAAACTAACAATATTTCATTAATTCCAAATATTCTTACATTCTCGTCTCTTAATTGACTTGGACTCTTTGCAATCTTCGTAATATATCAAAGAGTAAGCGACTAAGCGGCATGCTCCTACCCGAGGTTAAGCAAAATGGCAAGTTGTTACCCTAGTTTCATTTATTCCAGATTCCCATCCTTAAAATAACACTATTAGCTACTGTTAAATTTTGACACAGGTGCAGAGACTGCAATTACCGAATTGCCCTTCCATCTTCCTCTTCTTCTTAATCTCCCCATTCTTCTTCTTTTACCCATTCTTCCTTTCTCATCTCTTAACTAGCGTGGGCACTGGAAACTTCGCAATAATGTTTGCTACCTCTGCATCAAAAACCGATGCTTCCCTCACTCTCACCAAAATCTCTAGCTTGAATGCCCTTTTCTGTCTTTGCCTCAACCCATCTCCTACTTCCAATTGAACTGCAAATCTTCCACACAACTGGCAAATGGATGCATTTCCAAATACCTCTTTTATTTAGTCTCTTTATTTCTTTCCAATTTTTCATCATTCTAATCAAATTTCTCCATCTCAATCAAATTCCTACCCAGTCCCGTTCTCAGCAACTCAACTAGTTTCTTTACCAACCCCTGTTTCAACATTGCCTCAATTGCCTTCTCTGTCGCACTTCTTCGCACAGCAGATTGCACGACTTTTGTGCTTCCCCTTCTGCAGATTTGCGTTTCGCGTCGCCATTGCTTCTAGTCATCTCGAGCTGCTCCATTACACAATCTGCATGACATCTCACTAGCGCATGACCTATGAGCGATGCTGCCTCTCGCGCTTGCCAACCAACGCGCGACGTCGCCTCTCGCGCTCGACAACCAACGCCAATACCTAGGTCAGCCTCTTGCTTTTGGTTGTGTGCTAATTTTGGTTGTGTTGGGTGTTGAGTTTGTGGTGGTTTGTGGTTGGATTTTTGAGTGATTTGGTGGTGGTTGTTTGGTCTAGACAGGGATGACGTTGGGGTTTAGAAGGATTGTGAGGGTGGTGGATTGGTGCAATGGCGGTGGGTGGTGATGGTGGTGACTAAGGGTTTCGGTCGTGATGGTATTGAAAGGCGATGGCTGGATGGTGGTGTTGATGGTGGCCGGGTGCGAGAGATGTTTTTGCAGTAAATGAAAATATTTGTTGATGCGTGATTTTGACACCAATGACTCGCATATGCATATGCAAAGTGTTAAACAGTTCTTAGAAATTACACGTGAGTGATTATATGAGAGCTAATCAATATAGTTCTTAGAAATTACACGTGAGTGATTATATGAGAGCTAATCAATATAATTGAGCGTAAAGACAAAATAAGAAATCATTTTTAAAGTGGTTCGGATACTTAAAGTGATTCCTGCATCCACTTTTTCTTCTATATATGAGAGATTACAAGAGGTTGTGTATAGCGAACAGCAAGCAAAGGTACAATAACTTATTATTCAGAGAGAATATCAAGTTAGTCTCTTTCTCGTAGGTTATCTTTGCTCTGAAAATAAAGATTACAATCAGAATTAGAGTACAAGATCAGAATCCGGAAAATGAGAGGGTGAGTCCTCTATTTATAGTTGAGGAATTCAAGATAATGATTACAAGTCTGCAAGTAGGTAGGTGTCGTGCAAGTCCTTCCTTGCCTCCCATTGGCTACTAACTTAGGAAATATCCTCAAATTATCTGGGGTTTGAATAGGTGTGTGGCCCTCAGTCACTCATAGATAAAACCTGAATCTACTAAGCCTGTGATAGCCATATTCTTTTTGTCATGGGGCAATGTAAAAACTCATAGATGGCAGAAAGCCTTCCTAAATTGTGATTAGTGATTGCTGATATAAGCCGTGATTTTTTAGGCATAACAATATTAAATATAAGAAATGATCATTTTAGCATTTAATTATCAAAAGAAAGGAAACAAAGATATTTTAAGGGTGTGAATCTGGAATAATTGAAATCAGGGGTACCAACTTGTCATTTCACTGAACCTCGGTTGGGAACACGTCGTTTACTCTATATCGTACTTAATAACCCACATACATCAAATGAATCGTCTTTATTGTATAAAACAAATCGATCAATATCCATAACTTGCAAAATTGTTGGACGACCAACACGTCTTCATAAATATGAGTGTTGTTTAGTTTTACCTACGAAAGAATTTGATAGTTGCAGGAGTGTTTTTGGGGCTTGACTTCATTAAAAACAAGTGATCCCACATGCCTCATGCATAAGCATCTCTAATGAATCGTCTTTTTCACGTAAAACATTTCTAGCAGTATCGTTGGGGCAACAAGATTCGTGAATATTATTCTTTATTTAACCAGTTTCGTTCTATCTGTTTCCGGCAGCAAAAGTTTCAAAGATATTAAGTTTCCATTACCAGATACAACCACTATGCAGCACTTTACCCATCCAAGCCATTTATTATACAAGGTAAATTACGACCAAGAATACTTGTGTAATGGATGCAATACTAAAGGAGCTCGCACAAGATATCGATGCAATTTGTGTGATTTTGATCTGCATGAATACTGTGCCACCTGCCCCACGGCTCTCTCCTCTTTCATGCATCCACAACACCAACTCGACCTCCTTGTCCGCACGCCAGAAGACTCTCTCCAGAACCCATCTCGTTTCTGCCATGTGTGTCGCGAAAACATCGGAGCCCTCTTCTATAGGTGCAACTACTGTGAGTTTAACTTGCATCCAATATGCACCCAGTTCCCTCAGCAACTGCGCCACGTGTTACACCCGGACCACCCGTTGACGCTGCAGCCTTCTTCGTCTGGTTTGTGCATGGTTTGTAAAAGAGAGTGCAGTTTTTGGCGCTACAGGTGTGGGATCTGTTGTTTTGATATCCATTTCGAGTGTGTTTCAGCTTCCTGTGGTGCGTCAAAGTCAACGTCTGGGTCAGTCCTGCAATCAAATCCTCTTGCATCGGCAGCACCACCGCCTGGCTATGGTCCTTATGGACCTTATTGTTATGGTTATTTTGGTGGCCCTTCTGGGTTCAGTCCGTACTATAACATGTATCATCATAATCAGCATGGGCATATTAATTATCTGCCTCACAGTGGTGGTGAGGTTGGTCCAAGACCAAGTGGTGCTCGCAAAATAATTTACCAGATTGTGGCGAGCCTAACTGCTACAGTAATTGCCGATATGGTGTTTGGACTATAAGGTTTTTTATTTTCAACATGAACTCCTATGGAATAATCTGATTGTAAGATTTGTTGTGTTTATTTGATCAGTTCTCTCTTTCATAGTCTGAGTGCTGGCATTCTCTTGAATAAATATCACTTAATATCCTACTTCTTTGTTCCTACGGTTTAGGCAACTCGTTTTCGTTATCCAATTGCGTGAATTATGAAAACCCTTACCTCTCTTCTNATGATAAAAAAAAATATAATTAACTATTTTACATGGATGGTTGGATTTAGATATACTAATTAGATTTGAGTTTTACAGTTTAAAATACTTAAATAATATAAAATAAGGGGTATTCTAATATTTTAAATAAAAAAATACTTAAATCACTAAGTAGTAGTAAAAAATAACAAAAAGAAATTTTATGAGTTTCTAAATTTGAGAGTGACCACTGAAGAACTTACATGGTCGTCAATTTTAAAATTTTAGTAGATTAGTTGAGGTGTTCCTCAGTCATTCAAAAGATAAAAATAGAAATAAAGAAATATTTATTAAATTCAAGAAAGATACATCTTAATAATTTAAAATACAAAATATAGATCATGCAAGCAAGCTGGCCAGATACTTGGTCACCAAAAAAAAAAAATTAAAATAAAACAGTATTATGTAAATATTTATTAAATTCACGAATGATAGACTGAATAATTTAAAATACAAAATATAGATCTTATGTGACGAACGAAACGATTTGAGTGAATAAGGGTTTCCTTTGGTTGGTTTTTGGGAATACTACTTTTAGCATTCTCTAAAAAGTTAAACAGTAAAATACCAAAAAAACTCACAATATTATTCAACTTTTTTTAAATCCCTTAAATTTGTTAATTTAATTAAATAGCTCTAAATATTTTTAAAAAAATTATAAAAACACCCTAACAATCCACATTTATCAAATTTCGGTGACCACTGCCAAAAAATGGTCAGCTGTCCGTATTTGAGGGTGAGTTGGAGGTGTTTTTATTAACTTTTAATATTTTATTATAGGAGGTATTTTGTAAAAAAACAAACATAAGGGGTATTTTAAGTTTATAAATCTTACATCATAATACCCGTTTAATTCAACTTTTTTTCAAAAAAAAACTTTTTTCAAAAGCACAAAATTATGAACAAAAGGAGCCAAGGTCTTTCCCTTTAACTGCACGTTAACTTTGTCACATTTAGCGTTATTTTAAAAACAATACGCTTGATTTTTGTTTTGCTAGANGTTATCCAATTGCGTGAATTATGAAAACCCTTACCTCTCTCCTTGTGTTAACATGACAACCCCTTTAATTATTGGAGTTAATTATAGGGTTTTGTGCTCGAGTTACGAGAAGAGACAATTAATATAGGGCGTTGGGTTAGTTATGGGGTTTTATGTTCGAGTCCAAGGGGAGATAATTACCAGATTCACAAACAAACAAAAAAAAAAAAAAAAAAAAAAAAAAATCCTTAAGAAGGTAGGTTGAATTTGGCCTCAAACAATTCTTTCACAAGAATAAGGCTAATCTGAAGTCAAATCTAACCTTATAGAGCGCCAATTAACTGTAGGATATCTCTAATTGGAAGACTTGAAATTTGTGCCTTCGTTTTTTTTAAGTATTTTAGTAGTATATTGTACCTAAATTGATAATTTCCCATTTAACAAGAGATAGGTCTAATATTCCAACCCAAAACTGACGAATCTTTTTATTTATTTGTACTACGTATCATTGACGAAGACTCTGTAGCTAAAATTACTGTCTTTATTTAATTTTCAACTAAATGGCACAGCAATGAGTCATTGAAGAAGACTTCACTATTCATTTCGTTATCAAGGACCTTGATATTCCTCTCTCATTCTAATATGATTATTCATACAAAATTTGGTTTAATAAAGTAACATAATCTTACCTTAATCCTGTAAATATATTTGATGAGTGGGCTAGTGGCCCTATTCAAATTTTTTTTTTTTTTTTTAATAAACTCCTTAATTGTATTGAAAAGAATAATAAAAAATACAGCCTAAAAGAGGAGACACCCTTTCAAGCTATCACCCTTGGGCAGGCCCAAGAAAACTATACAAAGACCGAAAATAAAAACAAGGATATACAATCCTTTACCAGAAATCCCAAATAAAACAGGCTCAAAAGGCTAAAATAAAAGGAAGCCAGCAGGCCCACCCGACTGCATCCCTTTCTTCTAAACTTTCTACTAAAGCCCATAAGGCCTTGCCCAAAAGGGTCTAAGAAGCTGTACCACATAACAGCAGGCTTCAGGCCCAAAAACATACTCCCTGCCCAGCCCATAGAAAGTCTATTCACCGCCCAGATCCAAAACATCTTCAGCCCGTCAAGCAACAGGTTCCTTAGCCAGCATAGGCCCAATTAACATGCTGAATGGTCCAAAGCCCATTTCATTAATTAAGATTTTGGTTTGGATTTTGTTTGTCATTTTTTAAAGTTTCAAAATAAAAAACAAACTAAACCAGTGAAAAATAAGTTTGGGTTTTGTTTGTCATTTTTTAAAGTTCAAATGTTTAAAAGCCTATTTCATTAACTAATACTTTGGTTTATAAATTATAAGTATGGAGTTAATAAGTTTGGGGTAACATTTAAGTTTGAAACTGTGCCACTTGCTGCACCCGAACCAACCTTTGACGCTGCAGCCTTCTTCGTCTGGTTGGTGCATGGTTTGTGAAAATGAGTGTAGTTCTTGGCGCTACAGGTGTGGGATCTGTTGTTTTGACTTTTGATATCCATTTCGAGTTTGTTTCAACTTTCTGCCAGTCCTGAAATCACATCCTCCTCCAGCTCCACCTCAGGTCCCATATTTTGGTTATGTTTATGGTGGTGGCCCTTCTGGTTCAGCCCGAACTATAACATGTATCATCATAATTATATGCAGCATTGCTATGGCGGTGAGGTTGGTCCTCCAAGACGAAGTGGTTTTTACAGAATAATTATGTACCAGATTGTGGGAAGCCTAACTGCTGGAATAATTGCCAATGTGGTGTTTGGATTATAATTTTTTTTTTTTATCTTTTTATGTTGATCCCCATAGGAACTTCAACTCTTCCCTTTAATAAAATATTTCACACCCCTCATTCGATTCGGTAATACATCCTGCTTCTTCAGAGTAGCTCATTGTTATTTCGTTCCTAAGGTTTAGGCAACTATCTTTTATTTTCCAACTGCGTTAATTATAAAAACCTTGATCCATATTTTGTTAAAATAATATTTATCTTATTTTTAATTAAAGTTAATTGATATTCATATATCATTGATATCTCTATTTTCAAGAAATATATTTTTTAACATTTTAACTTTCAAATCCCCTTCTTCTGCCTCCCTTTAGCTAAGGCCTTCAAGTTTGTTTGGTAATAAAGAAGAGTGGTTAAAATGTCATATGTATTTTTACTAACCGGTTTTCCTATTAATCGGTTCGGTTTTGGTTCAGGAATAGCGGTTAACCGATTCGGCTAAATGGTTATGAATATGAAATGCATGGGTTTTTCCTTAACCCATCTCCAATTAATTGGAGTGATTAGTCTACATATCATTGACGCGGTAGCTTAGGCAACTACCACTAAATTAAAGTAAATTTTCTATTTTGATACGATACATGATCGATATGATGAAATTATAAATGATGATACATATATAACTTAGTAAATGGTAGAGCTGAACTACTCTAGATACACTACTAGATAGTCTAATGGTAAAAGAGCAAAAAGATGTTCTATGAGTTCTTGAATTCAAGTCTCCTTAAACCTAAACACTAATAGATATAGTCACGGGGCTTTTACTCAATCAACAGTTCAAAAGTCCCAATACGTTAAAAAACTTACTATGATAAAAATAATATCATCAATTAAAGGAATAGATGATACTATAATAGAAGTTTGGAATTTGATTTTTAAAATGATTTGGAAAGAAATTTAATTTTTTTAAAATATAAAATATATACAAGAACTAATATTTCAATGAGGCTTTTTTCCATTTGACTTTTTGAACTAATATAAATTTGACTTTTTGTTTCACTATTTCATTTGTTTTTTATCACCTCACTTTATATGAAAATCTTTGTAAGATTTATTTATAAGTATAGTATTATTATTTTCTTAAAACGAGGCTTTAGTTAATGAGTAATACTACACTGACAAACACTTCTCGTAACTTTCTCTCGCAAACACGATGTGTCAGTTAGCAATTAGTCAACTTGTATGGATCTTGCTTGTCCAATAATAAATCTCATCTAACTAAACCAATTGTAAACTATCACATGTGCTAGTGAGAGATATTTGTGATGTTAGTTAATTGTGTCACTAGCTTCAGGACTATTGATATCGTCCGCTCTATAGTAATTTTCTAAACAATAAGGTTTGATAACTTACTAACTCATAAACTACGTCTTGAAAAAGTAATATTACATTTATAAAATAAGAATCACAAGTTTATATTCTGACTAATTTCAAATAAAATAAAATAAAAGTGGCATTTCGTTCTATCATTCGATCTAAAAGGGCAGGGGAGGGTCGGGGAAGCAGTTTCTTTAGGCAAGAGTTTTGTGTGCATATTGAGCTTTTGATTAAACTCTGATTATAAAAAATGAAGGTGAATAAAAAAAAAATGTAAAACCGTATGGTTTAGTATCGTAACTATCGTTTATTTTTTTGTTTTTTTTTCTAAAAATAGTTTTTGGTTCTTGGTTTATTTTAATCGAAACATAACAAACCAAATATAGTTTATCTTTTTGTTTTTTATATTTTTTTAAATACTTTTCAAAAATTATAAAAAGTTCTCAAAAATATCAAAAAGCCCTTTATTAAAAAATTGATAAATAAAGATAAGTTGACAAACGAATCTCATAAACCTGATATGGGAGTTGTCAAGCACTAAATGACTTTGACTAAACACAAACGGTCGTTTCTTAGGAGTGAATAATCATTATTTATGAATGAACAACCGTTCTTAGGGACAAACAACTGTTCCTTCATAAGGAACGGTCATTCCTTATGAAAAAACGATCGTTCTTAAGGATAAACGATTATTTTTTTATAAGGAAAGACCGTTCTATTAATAAGAAACCTTCATAAGGAATTATTATTAATTATGAATGGAATAATCATTCCTTCTTATGGA